TCAAATTCTAATTCTGAGATACCTAATAAATGATGATTAATCCATTTTCTCTCCCAATAGAGATAGAGATAGACGAATTTAAAAAATAAATAAATAAAAGGAAAAAAGAATCAACATAGGATTGTCTAGGATGCATAGACCGACTGCTCATCACAATACCCAAGAAAACGAAAATAATGCTTATTTTCTGCAGGGGTTAAAAAACATGGGTTTAACCATTTTAACAGGGGTTAAAATGCCTAAGGGATTTCTCAGTAGTTCTTACAGTACACACACACACACACACACACACACACACACACACACACACGCCACTGCAGATGATCCTGACTATATAATGGTCAGTGGGTTTCTGCTGATGGAACATACGGTTTCCAAAATTACTTGAAACACCAAATTATGCTCAGAGCTTTGAGGGGCGGATACCCTATGTTCTGTTTAATGTGTATGTTCCATTGCATATATTTTTTAACCAAGTATATCTTTATTTTAATAACAGGCCAAGGACTGAAAACACTTTAGAGAAGGGCTATTTTTCTACCTCAGCAAAACTCCAGAGGACATGTTAGACTGTTAGATGACCCCAAAGTCTAAGTTCACACTCTATTTAAAAGATCTTAAACCTTTAAATTTAAAAATATAATAATAATGTGTGTGGAAGAGGGAAGGCTTCTCTTGAACCTAGGTTTTTCCTACAAATATTATGGTGTTCATACTTGGAAATGGAGTTTTCTCCATTTTCCTAGGTTGACATTGTATTTTGAAATATTTTATACATTTCAATAAATAAATATTACACTTTACACTATACACTTTACACTATAACCTTTACACACTTTACACTTTTTCCTATTGCCACTCTTCAAAAAGTAAACTACCCCTCCACTACCACTTATTCTGTGTCTACACCTGACCTGATCCACCTTTCTTTGACTCTTAATCTAAAAGGAAATGCTCCACACATAGACAATTAAGAGGACTCTTGTAGAGGATGCTCAGCTCTAAATGAGGCTCTGCCTGACAGTCTTGATCACATTTGCTGCCCCGTTTAAATGCACCATTGTGCACTGTTTAATGATGCTTTTCCCTTGCAACAAGACAGCCATGTTCTTGAAAGAGGCTTGGGAGCAAGGGAGCAGGCATACTTCAGTTGGATTCACTACTGGGTAACTTCAGCCAGTAGCGTTTCAATAATATAAAATTATTTTAAAGCAAAATGTTTTTGAAATATAATCAATTTTCCCCCAAAGAGCAGATATTGCTATAAGATATTCCTAATGTTTAATTTTTCCCCCAAATAAACTAGAACATTTAACACCCCATTTGAAAAAAATCATTAAAAAATTCATAGGAGAAAGAAAAATATCAAAAAGATTTCTGATGTTTAATGCCTCCTATCAGCAAATACACCATCTGGTATAGCCAAGCACTGTTCATTCAGTTTAAATAAAGCTGTCTGAAAGTTCTTCTTTAAGCCAAACATTAAAAAGCGAAAATGCTTGTGTTAACAATGGATGATGCACAATAATTTATTGCTATTAAAGCACAACTGGTTAGCCCCTCCAACAGTCCAGGAGGAAAGCAGAATGCCTGGCTTCCTCTGCAGACTTCTCTGGCCACACTTTCAGTTTAGCTGTAGGTTGTGTGGTTAAAGCATTCCACACAGCAGAACATTTGAGGGACTCCTGCTAAGAATGGTAAAAAAGATCATCTGATTCTTATTTTACTCGTCCTTAATAATCTCTTCTTTTTCTAAGTCTTCAAATACACCTATAAGTTTTAATCAACAATTTCACAAGTATAAATTTCCCCACCATTAATCATCCTTTTTCCAAATCCTTATGGAGTGAATTACTAGCTGAGAGGGGACGCCAATTCTAGTAAGTGAATGTTACCCAGCAGGGATATAAAGCTGTCAACACCACAGAGCTCTTGCTTGCACTAAACTCTCTCCCAGCCTTCATATGTTTTTTAAAGAGATATTAGCCTTTTTTTTCCCTAGGACCTTCTATAAAAGCTGACTGTCATATACATCTGAGCACTTATATTTTACTACATACATGCTTTGAAACACGTTGCTTAAATAAGAGCAAAAACATCTTAGCCAAAGCAAAGCTGATCTAGTTTCTAATCCTCTTCTAAAGCTATCCATTGTAAACAACACACTGGCTTTTAAGTCTCTTCTTAAAACCCAACCTTAGGGACTATGAAAGAGTATTTACCACTTCAACTGGTTTACACAGACACTAAAATTACGATCCCTTTTTTGTGTGTGAATATATCTAATGCTCATCAAAAATCCTAACAAGTTCCTGCTCCTAAAAAACAACAGAATTTACTATTGTAGTCAACCAAAAATGTTTGTCTCTCCCTGCTTATCAAAAGCAGTGAGATAAATTGCTATTTTATTGAGAAATCAATTAATTTAATGATTTCCCCTGTTTCTTCAAGGAGGGAAACTTCACAGAAAGAAAAACACTTAAGATTAACAAATATGTGCTCCCAAACATGAAGCTCTCTTTTCACCTCATGCTTATTTGATGACATTGACAGGAGTGCAAGATAACCAAAAACCATAGTAAATGACACAGAGCTACAAATATTTTGTGGCTATCTATGCTTGTTTTATAAAGAAAATTCAACAAAAGGATGCAGAGTGGTAGAAATAAAATCTATTTCACATTTACCTTATGTTGAAAGAAAAAAGTTTTAATTAGAAAGTATCTCTATCTTGAAATATACTTGAAAGTTTTTTAAAAACTTAGAATGTACATTTTAAAAAAAGGTTTGGCGTTCATCCAGCCTATACACATGATTAAAAGTTATAAAGACATAAAAGTATAACATTTTAGTATATGTTTAGAAACTATATAGACTGAAGCCCACAAAAATAATTAACATTCAATAAGAAAGCTTCGTACAACAAAATTTTATATTCTGTCATTATATTTTAAGTTCTCAAAATTAATTTCTTTCTAAATAATCATGCTGTAGAGAACTGAAACTTTCTTTTTTTAAAAAAAAAAGCATATTTAGAAATAAACCATACACAATTGTAATCACTTTACTATTAGTACTATAATGCTATACATTAGGATAAAATACTGTCATTTTATTTTCAGTTTGGGAGGTTTCTAGTAAGACCTTTGATATTACTAAATTAATCCTCCAAGGTGGTGATTAAGGCAGTTCATTAAAACAAATCTATTGTTCTTCAAAAAGACAATAATTTTAGTTTGTATCAAATTTGAATTAGAATTTTAGAAATGTTGGAAGTAACCACCACTTCACACTGAAGGCATTTTAATGGACAGAATGAAGCAGTATCTTTCATAGTTCAATATGATATGAAAGGGAAAAAAGGCAACTTTGTTTAAGGAAAGTATAGATTCTAACAGTTACATTCTAAACTGTTGAGAGACCTCAGGAAATTTGGAGAATGTAGTGAATTGCACTAGGTTTTCAAAATGAGACTGAAATTCTGTTTAAGATTTTTCTTATTACAAAAGGCCATTTTCAGAATACACTACCTCTAAACATTTCCAAAAACGTTTCAACCAGACATTATCAGCACTTACAGCATCCCAAGCCTGGTCCTACCATGTGCTATGACTTTCCCTTCCATGTGTGTGTGTGTGTGTGTGTGTGTGTGTGTGTGTGTGTGTGTGTGTGTGTATAAGTGAATATCCAAAAATCTCAGGTCATTACTCCAGACTCACAACAACACATTTAGGAACCCCACTTTTGGAAAGTGAGTCACAGAGCTGACAAGTTTTTTTGTTTTGTTTTTGCCTCATTGAAAGATTAAAAGTGTATTTTCACATCTCTAAACGGTTAGATGCAAAAGTCACACTCAATAGCCAAATAATTTTTTCCAAAATTTTAAAAATTGAGAGGAAGGCAATTAAGGCATATCATCCTGAATGTCTACCACAAAGAAAAATAGCAAAAAATAAGTAAAAACAGAAAAGTTATCATGTTATAAGATGCATGGAGATATTTCAAGCTTGAGTATTTACTACAAAATACAATGGATACCTTAAACATAGGCATGTGACCTCATCCCTGGGTTTTGCTAGGATTTTGTATCCCATTTTATTCAAGTCAATAAAAAGAATTATATTAAATAAGCTGTCGAAAATATGGGGGCAGGAGTAGACATAATAAAATTTAATAAGTAGTTTCTCACAAACAAAAAAGTCTGCATTCATGTAAAACTCTGAGTTTTACAAGTAAAAGACAGCTAGGTGACGGGTATGCAAATCCAAAAATATTTTAGTGTCTACATTTCTGTCTTATTTTGTAAGATTACTTTTCCTAACCATTTCTAAAGGAAGTATCTGTATAAGTACTAAAATCAGCAAAAGACTGTATTTAAATAATATTTAATTCTTGGGTGGGAAAACAGCAGGTAACAAATAAAATAGCTGCTATTTCTCCGGGTTCTCTAATTCTTCACAAAGTTACAAATGCCAGTGTCTAAACTTTACAGACAGCCTCAGCATCAAATCTCTAACAGATTCACAGTGGCTCTTCTTTTACCCAGTTGTCACTCATTTGTCTAAAGCACTGTCCTAGCTACAAAGGAACACCAACACTCTCCCTCCTGCTGCCACTTGAGCATTAACCACTATCCAATCAAGCCAAGGCACTTAAACTTCATCCCTAGAACAGATACCCACGGCAAGGCAAAGGAGTTAGAACATTAAAAAGCTCTCTAGGAAAATCTAGAAACAGTTAGCTGGCTGTGACATAAACCTGCCAACACCTCAGCACACAGTGGCAAAGTGCCCAAAAAATGCCACCCTCTGGGTAAACCACTTTCTTGTTTTAACTCGAGATGAAGCTACCAGTTGCGGAGGAGACTAGGGCATTATTTGGCAACCTGGAATCGACTTCCTGTAATCCTACACCGAAACAGCACCTAATCAACCTGAACCCTGACACCCGGGCCATCATCTAAGGCCGCGGGTTGCGCGCCTCCCGCTCCGGGCTGTTACCTCCCACGGCCTTGGCCACTGCGCCGTTGGGCCTCCCGCGGGCTCCCATGGGGCTGCCATTCTGCTCCAGCCGGGCCACCTTCACCGGGGGAGGCCCCTTGACGTCCGGGCTGCCGCTCCGCCGGTCGGGGCTGTCCCGCAGACACGGGCTCTCGCTCCGCCGCTCCATGCTGCTCCGACTCGGAGACAAAGTTCCCACCGGCAGGTCGCAATAAAACGCGCAGGGACCTAGGGAGGGGGCGGAGGGGAGGGAAGGGGGAGGGAAAAAAAAGAGGGAAAAGCGCTCACACACGTGATAGACTTTCAGGCCAGTTGCAGAGCTCTGCACCTCAGCCACACAAACTTCCTCCCACGCTGCCCAAGGGCCCCCGGGAAGCGGGTCCCAACATTGCACCGGAGGCCCCAACGCTGCAGAATTTGAGGTGCTGCAACCCTTCCCAGTTGCTAATCCCCAAAAGTTAGCCCTGGGTGGCGCCGACCTAGTCTGTGCCCACAGCGCTTAGCAGTGGTCCATTCATTGGGGCAGTGTGGGAAGGCGCCTTCCCCGAATGGGAAAGCCTCCCCTGGGAAGGGGGTGCGTTCCAGAGGGGCAGCACTTCAACACAAGGTCCCACACTACCGAGGAAGGAGCAGGGTCCTGCACAACTCCACAAGCAAATTAGTCACTTGATAAATGCGCTGTGAGTGGCCAGGCAGGAGCCAAAGGCCGGATCAATGGATAGAATCACATCTTTTCCCCTTTATGGAGTAAATACACAACGTACAGGTATGTATACACACACACACACACACACACACACACACACACACACACCTTTGCACAAAATTTAAGCAGAACTCCACATTAATGAGCATCCCAAAGAACATGCTGGTTTGAAGGTATTTAACAGGATAGCCTCCATCACAACAGCTGGGACTGCATTCACTATTTTGAAGCATTCTTGTCTGCATCTGATCCTGAGTGCTTTTTTTTTTTTAAGCCGTTAAGCATAAAACGTTAAGAAAAAAAATTAAATTCTTAGGTGCAGAGGTAGCCTTCATTAAGCCCAATCTTTAAATCACTCTGGAAAGTTTTTCCTCCCTGGTCCCTAGGCGGGCAGCGCGCTCCTCGAAGTCCTCGGCACCCTTGAATTTGGGGGGGGAGGGACCGAGAAGAAGGGGAAACACCTGATGAAACGGCGATCGCGCTGTCACTGACACGCGCGAGAAGCAGAAACCGCGCACAACCTGGAGCGCTGGGAATCCTCGCGAACCTTCGGCCGCGGGAGAAGCTCTGTCACCACCGGTCATAGAGACAAGGTGGGGTGACATGAAGGGAGAAGGACGGGAGAGATGCTGCGGAGTCCGCGAAGGGGCTGTGAGCCAGGTTCCACCCGCATTCCCGGCTCAGCCGTCGGACGCCTGAGAGCCCAGCGAGGGAACTTAGCGCGCCCGGCTTCCCCGCACCCGGCAGGCGGTGCGGAGCCGCGAGGGAGCCCTGGCCCTGCCTACTTACTGCTCACGGTCTGTCTGAAACTTGGCTGGCTGGGGCTCTGTCCATGGAGCAAAAGTAGAGAATCCAGGGTGGAAAGTTTCTGGTGCTGTGCTTCGCAGTGCTGCTCTAGTCTTCCTTTCTCTTTACTCCTGGTCTCTTCCTCTTCCCCGGGTTCTAACGTTTAAGGTCCTGGGTCAGGGTGTCTTCTTCTGGTGCGGAGATGGCTGTTATGATGATGATGGGGGGGGCACTCCTCAGAGGGCACCCGAGCAAGCGGGGGAGGGGACAGCGGAGGAGGGGAGAGAGGAGGCTGAAAGAGCCTTTCACACCTTCGGAAAGGAGACTGGTTCTGGAGAGACAGGGCTGAGAACTGGGAGGCGGCGGCTGCAGGCTCGCGAAGCCGCTAGCTCTCCGGGAGGCGCGGCGGCAGCCGCGGGGCCAGTGCCACCGAGAGCCGAGGAGGCGCAGGGACCCCGCACCGCGCGCAGGAGAAAACGCGGCAGCCGCCCAAGCTGTCACCTCCAACCTCTCCCCTGTCGGCCGCCTCTGCCAGAAGCCAGAGCCGGACTCACTGACAAGCCGCAGAGAGACACACTGAGAGGGAGATGATTATTAGTTGCGTTGAGTCATCAGGCAAAGTGAGTCCTTTTGGGTTGTCCTCGGTTTCCGATTTCTTCCCCTCCCCCTTTCCGTCCCCAGATCTAGCGCCTTCAAAATAATAATTTGGGGTGGGGGTAGGGGAAGTCTCTGGGTTATTTCGGGATGGGGATGGGGATGGGGGACGGATCTAAACCCAAGCCAGACTGATCCACCGCTATGAAGGAGCGGAGTGGGGGGCGGGGTGGAGGGCTGGGGAGGTTGCGGGGGGAGAGGGGCCCCGCCTGGCAGGAAATTAAACATCAATCAATCAATCGCTGTGAGCTCGGCGACCCAACGGCAGCGGGGCTGCGGAGGAGGCAGAGGGACAGGCAAGGGGGCGGGTGGGAGGCAGGGAGAAAGGAGGAGGAGGAAGACCGGGAGAGTCGGCGGTGGGAGCCGGGTGGCAAGGACCTCGTGCGCCGGCCGCCGGAGGACCAAAGGCAGAGGACTGAGTGCCGCGCGAGGCTATGGCCGCGGCCAGCGGATGGGTGCGTCAGGGAGCTGCCGGGCGCCGGGGCCCAGGGTCTGGTCCTCCTCCTTGTGGCAAGTCCAGGGCGCGGCCGCCTCTCCCAGCCCCTAGGCGCACTCGTCCCAGCGTGGAGGCGGCGGCCCGGCGGGCGCTGGGTGCGGAGTCTCCCGGCACAGAGGCGCTGACCCGCGCGCGGGAGGCGGCAGCGGCTGCCTGGGCTCCGGGCGCTGCCAACTGCGCCGAGTACTTTCGACTTCGGAGATAGGAAGGCGACCGCCTCCCCCACCCACCGCCGCCTCCGCCCCTCCAAGCAACTTTTCCCGGTGCGGGCGAGCTCCCTCTCCGCGCCGAGCCGACCGTCAGGGCCGCCGCGTGCGGGGAGAGCGGCCTCCTCAGATCTCGCTCGACCGCGGGTCCGGAACAATAGCCCGGGTGGACCGAACGCTAGGAGCGAGGCCCCGGGCCGCCGGCCCACGAGTGGCACCGGAGAGAGGGTTGCTCGGTGGGAGCAGGGCGGGCAGCATCCCGGGATGGCAGCGCTCTCAGCGCTGCCGACACTACGGGCGGCGCAGCCCCGGCCGTCCGGAGGCCGGACGCGGTGGCGGCCAGAGCGCTCTCCGCCTCGGGCTGCGGGACTCCGGCTCCAGGAGACCCGGAGCTGCTCGAGACCCCGGCTTCGGGCGCGAGCAAAGCTGTGCCATGAGGACCCGGCCTCCCCGCCCTGAGCGAGGCCGAACCAGAACATTCCCGCAGGTCCCGAGAAAGCGTAACAGCCACAAACTTTTGCCGACTCGCGCGGCCGAAGCCGCCCGCCGCCTGACTCTAGCCCTGGTGCCTTTTAAGGTGGCGCGAGCACTACCCCGGCGCGGACCCAACTTCGGGCCGCGCTTTTGTCCTGATGGTCCCGCCTGGGCGCGAACCTCCTTAAGAAAAAGCACGTGGGCAGGGGCTAGGGCCCCCGCGAGACGCCCCGGGCATCGGCGACGGTCCACCGCTGGGACGCAGGGGGAGAAAATGTGAACTGAGTCTCCGCCGGCCTCCGGGTCAAGCAGCCCCCCCTGCGCCTCCTGTCCCTCCAGCACACCTTGGCTCTCCCCGCCCCCCCATTCCCCTGGACCCCAAGGACTCTCCCTCCACGGGCTGCCAGTGCCACTGGTCCCCCTTAAGAAGCGTTGACTGTACGGCGGCGCCAGAGGGCCAAATTAAATTCAGTTTCGGGAAACGCGCTCGGGGGCAATTTTGGAAATCCTGGTCCTACACTGGGGCAGTGGAAAGCTGAGTCTGCAGATAGTGCCCAGGACCAGGCTGCTGTCCACTCGCATCGTCACCCACTCCCACGGGCGGCAAGCTCACGGCCTAGGAGGCCTGAGAGCTTCTGGAAGAACAAGGGTTCCCGAAAGGAAACCTGTCCTTGGCCCAGGTCTTGGTGCCCAGAGCCGGGTGAGTCCCACACCCTGGAGCTACCCACCGTGTTCAAAAGAAGCCTAGTGCGACCGGGCAGCGGAGCCCAGCCAAGCTCAGAAAGGACGCTAGCGGGGTAGTAATCCTGCCCAGAGCTGCCAAAGTTTTAGGCAGTCTCTTCCTTTTTTACTTTCCCAAATTCCGTGCCCCTACCAACATCCCCAGCCAAAGGGAATGGAGAAAACTCGAAATCTGTGAAAACTAAGTGGCCTGAGTAAATCAATCCGAAGAGGTAGCTAAAAAGGGTTCTGGCAGCAAAGAAGCAAATTGTTGAGTTTGATCGACACACTTTTTAAAAAATCTGCAGTAGCAAAGCGAAATGAGAAGGGGGTGTTGCAAAAACTTAACTACTACTCCTGTCAAATTTATCCCGTTTTCAAAATGGAGAATGGTATATATCTTATTAATATCTTAACGATAATAAGCCCTTTTCTTTCCTTACCTTGGTGTTGGAACTGTGGGATCCACCTCCTCCTGATCAATGTCCAGGAACTTAGAGGAATTGATGATATTAGGACTCAGTACTTCTGGGGGGAAAATGCAAATCGTTTAGTGAGGATCTTTTCTGCCTGATTCGTCACTATTATTATATCTGATGATGCGAATGGTTGGAACGATTCTATCCTGTCATTAATGAGCTATTTTATAAACACCACTGTCTGAAGATCTTCATTTACATTTCGTTAAGGATCACTTCGCTAACCTCACAGGCTTGTGTCAACAGCATGATAATGCGACTTCAGTTACACTCTTATAAACAACACAACACGGCTGTTTTGTTAATAGGTTAATATTTTATAAAGTGTAAATCATTTATTATGTTTTGAAGGGAACTATTGATTCTAAATAATTAAACCCCCAAGAAAGGCTGTTTAAATAAAGTATACAATTAAGTTCAATTAAATGTTCATTGTGGCTAGATTCTGCACCTTTTCAAATTTGATTTTTCTTGTCCGCTTTTGATAGTGAAAATAAAATCATTTTGGACAAAAAGTCTGAATTATTTAAAATTACAGTTTAAAATACATAAATAATATTTAACATACAGGAAAATGTCAAGTTCGATAAGTCATTACCAGAAATGTATTTTGAATGTTGATAGATTTATTTTCAGTAAAACATTTTGCAATTTTTTCACAGTTTACAAAAAGAGAATTCTAGAAAGTTTTGCCATGTATGCCCAGTGTGAATTTTTTTCCACTTTAGTTTTTCCCCTAATAAAGGCCTTTTCTGTTTCAAATTGCATATACTTTTCCCAACATAATTTTAACATTGACCTCATTTCTACTAAAGCAATTATTTCAAGCATGTTTAGTTTCTGCAGTAAGAGATATTTTAAATACTTTGATTTTTTGTTGTTTTCCACTTTTTAAAAACAGTAAATAAATTTGATGATGATTCAAAAGATTTTGTTTGGTTTCATTTTGTATTTCTCATGATTGATTTCCAAACATTTTTTAAAGAAAATCACTATTAAAAAATGGTGTAAGTACGTTTGTCTTTTTAAATATTTTCATCCAAAACTCTTTTTCCCCCTAGTTAGGAGATAATTTGCTCTATGAGCAAAATGTAATGTTCACATCTGGGGCTTTTTTATCCCGGGTTTGCTTCGGACTGGAATTTTTGTGGGGAATCTGCTCAGACTTTTGACCCTTCTCCTATCCCCGATTTTTTGTGTTATTTAATCAGAGGTCACCGGTCTTTCACAATCACACTGGAATTTGTTATTTTAAAAATAAAAATAAATCAACGGATCCTTATAGGCTGAGCTTTAACTGATCCGTTTTCTACTTGCCGTGTCTTTGCCTTTTCTGTCTCTCCAGGCCTTTCTTCTGTGATCTCTTACAGCCTGCACTTTTAATGGCGACATAGTTCGATTTTGCTTTGTAACCTCTGAGGTTTCGGCCTTGCAGGTCCTCCACCAGGTCAGCCTTCCTTCACCGATGTGGCTATGAACCACCTAAGCAGCACTGCCCTGGTGGGACGCAGTGCCAAGCCTTCAGTAAGTCCTTACTTGGCGCAGTCACCCAGCCTCCAATGGCCCAGCATTCATCCCCAGGCTCTAGGGCTTTCAAGTTTGGTCATCCAGGCAAAGAGGTCCTCCCAGAGGTGCGCAGCCTTTTAGAGATCACTGGAAATTTGTGCTGCCTTTTCCCTCCACCCCAGGATACACAGTTAAAAAACTTAATGGGACTAAACCAAAATGCCCAACCTCTTGTTCTGGAGCTGGCTCCACTAGGGAAGGGGTGTTGGGTGTGAGGGAGATCAGTTCTTTCTAAGGATGCTCACATCAAGTCTGAGGCCAATTTCCTCCGAGGTCTGTCCAGGCAGTTAGGCAACAGGCACTTACCAAAGACAATATACGGGTACAGGGCTTAGATTGAAAAACAGGATGCTCTCAGTGAACAAGGGCTACGGGCTGAATGCCAGAGAAGGGATGAACGTTAAAGGACAGGTAGACCAGGATGGGTTTAAGCTCTTTTTCAGACTGCTCTAGGGAGTGACCACAGCACAGAAGCACTTGCTTCCTTAGTTGTACAGCTTCCTTGTGGGCATCAGAACCCTAGATATCTTCCAGTGCCAGGCAAACACAAATTACTCCCGGATCCTCCAACCGCTCTAGGGACCTGGGCTGGGCGGAGCAGTGTGGCAGCCTTTGGGCCACAGGATGTAGGAGCAGTGAGGTTCTCCAAAGGTCATCAAATGAACATGCAACTGTGGTCTGGACAGAGATACACCCCCACTAGACGACTGATTGGAAACCGGTGGAAGGCAACTAGTCTGCCTTAGATGTGAGCCTGGCTCCCAAGAGGCCAGGGAGTTGGAGGTCAGAACAAACTGTGCCAAAGCCCAAGGGATATAAAGGGATATGTGATATGATGGGTAGTCCGTGAAGTGACCCAGGATAGGACCCGCAACTTTCAGACTGTGGTCCCAAGTGAAGGAGATAGGCACGGGTGGACTTTGCTTGCACGAAAAGATAGGAAACAGATTTCAGACCTGGGAGAGAGTCCTTGGGTGAAATAGTTGGATGTCTGGTCCGTCGTCACGGGGTGGGAGGCCCGACAAGAGAAGGCCTTAGGACTGGGCACCCCAGGCGTCACACCGCAATCCCACCCCACACCCCCTACTCCCGGCTCCCTGGCCGAAGCCTTTTTTCCTCCTCGTCCTGAAAACTGATTTCCTTAGGCTGCATGCAGCTCAGCGAGAAACGACCGTCCTGCCAATCTAGTTTGTGTATAGAAATCCACTGTTGATGATGGAGGTTAACAAGGCAAGGGGAAGGAGTCAAGAAATGGTCAAAGGGTCCTCCGGGGCCACCCGCCTCCACTTTGCTGGTGGGCGGCCTGGGGTAGCGTTCCGGACCCGCGGAGTCTTCCTTTGGGAAACACCAACCCGGGTAGAGGGACTCAGGCCCAAGGCGAAGAACTCGCAGCCTTGACTAGTTGTCCAGGTCCCTCCACCTTCGAGACCGGTCACTGCCCCGGGTCCCCGCCCAGAGTGCAGGCGCGGTCTCCCGACAGCGCCACCGCGTGGGCTGCGACTAAAACCAAAGGCGATGGCTGGAGCCGGGCCCTACCGCCCTGCCAGGAGACCATAGGTTAAGATGAGGGGCGGAGGTGGGGTCCAGGGCCTAGGACCATTCCACCACCCAACACCAAA